CTCTCCTTTCTCCTCTTATTTATTCTCTCTGTCCACCAGTCCCACCTGTCCCTTTACTGTCTAGCTATTGGCCATTCAGCTTTTTATTAGACCAATCAGATGCCTTAGGCAGGCAAGGCATCATTACATTATTAAACAAATGCAGCATAAGCAAATGTAACACACCTTTACATAGTTAAAGTAATATTCCATAACACAAGTGAGCATGTGCACATTCATTTTCTCTGCTCTTATCTCTGAATGTGTTGAGACTAGCTGAAGTAGCTACCTTGGTTTATCCACAGTGGTGGACTGTGACCTGGAATTGTAAGCAGAAAGAAACCCTTTCTCTTCTAAGTTGTTTTTGTCAGGGTTTTTATTACAGCAACTGCAATGAAACTGAGATAGTTATTAAATACTTCTCACTGAAACCCAGCCATGCACATTTCCTATTTTTGTGATGGTGACTATGAAATGCTGACTGAATAGTTATCACTACACACCTGTACTGCCAAGTAGATTTTAGGACAGTCTTGCTGCAACCATCTAACAATTTTCCCCTTTACTTGAAAGTATTTGTCTCATAATTCTGAGATTCTACTTCAAAGATTTTTTAAGTACCCAGAATACATTGAATAGGCATTTGTATATTTATAGAAGGGATATGAAACAAGTATTTATTTGAAGTCTGTGAAAACAACTTAATCACAATCTTTTGCTTTCCCAATTTCAAAATCATGATCAGATCAGTACCCATCCCAAGTATACACACGGACTTTGGACTCCCATAGAACAATGTGAGGTGCACTCTCACCCTGAACTCTTGGGGAAGGGTCTAGGCCCTGCCCTATATGAAATGACAGACTATGGACACCCCCATGGAGGGCCTCACCCTCCCTGGGAGAATGAGGGGATAACGGGGGGGGGGGGAGGGGAGGGCACGGGAGGAGGGGAGGGAAAGGGAGAGGGACCTGGAACTGACTTGTGAAGCAACCTTGTTTCTTATCTAAATTTAAACTGGAAAATAAAATAAAAAAAAGAAAAATTTCAAAGAGGAATACTGTATTCAGTAGTACAAAGATCAGGAATGCTAACTTTCTGAGCAAGGCTTTGAGTGCACAGGGGCCCAGGGACTAATCTTGGCAGAACAACTTTTGACTGAACTGTAATTGGGGCTTAAATGGGTTTGAAGACATTTGTTTCTCACTTAGGAGCCAGTTTCTTAAGTGAATTCCTCTGGTCAGATGTGAATTTAACATGGGTTTAAGGGAACTATAAGAATTAGGCTTAATGGCTGGGTTTTAAGTTGTCAAAAATAACAGCATACGTAGCAGTCATAGTAGTAATGTCTTCTGGCTTGACAAGTTTTTTTGTTGTGTTTCAAGTTATATATATATATATATATATGTTTGGTTTTACGAGACAGGGTTTCTCTGTATTGTTTTGGAGGCTGTCGGTATAGCCCGGCCTCGAACTCCCAGAGACCCGCCTACCTCTACCTCCCGAGTGCTGGAATTAAAGGCATGTGCCAACACCGCCCAGCTCAAGTTATATTTTAGTTTTGTGTTTGCATGAGTGTGGGGGGAGTGAGGAGATATTTATTTGTGTGTCTACGTGTGGAGATAAGTGGCTTAAGGCTTGTCTCCTATGATGCTTTACTTACATTTGTTCCTTTTTATGCCCTGAGATAGGAGTCATTTCCTAATTAATTTGTGTAGTTCTTTATCTACCTAAACTCTTAGTCTTTGCTGATCTGTCTTTTAATCTTTGTTCTTACACTTTCCTTCCTGTGTTTTTCTTGGCAGTGTATGTTGTGTTAGCCTGCTTTCCTTTTCATGACAACATGTCTGACACATAGTTTATCAGGAGGGAAGGTATATTTTGGTGACTGGTTTCAGGTGTTTAGTCCTTGGCCAGTTGGCCTTGTTGATATCAGGCCTTTGGTAAACTACAGTTTGGGGACAGGGGTGCTGCTTGTGGTAAAGCAAACTTGGTCAGCATCTAGCAGCCAGGAAGCAAAGAGATAGAGAAGTGAAGGTCAGAGCCATAGCATCACATTTCAGAGGACAGTCCCAGAAATCTCACCTCAGCTGCTGCAGGGCCCTCCAAATGGTGCAATAAACTCGGGATCAAGCCTTATCACATGACCTTTGGGGACCTCTGAAGCTCAAATCACAGCATGCCAAAGCCTTATCAATTATCACTATTTTCTTTGGCCACATGAATGTTTGTAAAAGAAGTTATTGTTCAGTATAATTAAACATTGAATTTTGTGGACATTTAAGAAATCGATAAAAGGAGATGTTGATAAATCCAAAGCTTCATAATGGGGATTGTATTTTTAAAAGCCTAACCATCTCCACCAGCAATGCCTGTAGATCCCTGCCATGATGTCACATGTCTGGTGCATCCTTGCTTTAGCAGCCATGTGGCAGTTATTTAGGAGTACACACGTGATGTATTTAGACAAATTAGGCCACAGACTATTTATTGGGTAGCTGAAGTCATAAAAAGTTCTGTAGTGTACATTGTTTTTGTATGACTTTCGGTATCTTTGGAATTATCTTGAGGCATACATTAGTTTTAAATAATTTCAATATTAAATGGCATATAATATTTTAAGACCGTAACATATAACACTAGCTGATTTCCATGCAGTAGACACCATGTGTATTGGTTCTGTGGTATATAAGAGAGAGTGCTCATTTCCTCGATGAAAACCCAATTTTTAAAAAGTGTCAATACTGTAAACCCAACTTCTGTCAACTTTTAGACTATTATCCTAAACATTAGTCCTACTAGATTCCCTAAAAATAATAGACAAAATATTTTTTAATCTCTAAAAGGAATAGTTATCTGAATTATCAAGAAATTAAAGAAGTTTTCAGATGATAAAATCAAAATGGGAATACAATTTCAGTCATTTATGAAGAAAGCCAAAAGGTGGTTGAGTCCCTGGGAATTTAGGTTAACTTTAACCACTCCACAGGTGATTAAAGACAGGGTACCAGTCAAGGCAGTGATGAAATGTTGCTAAGAGTCCAAGTCTGTCATTCCTGAGACACTGGACACTCAGTGAAAATGTGAACCAAGGCTGAGGATGTATTCCACAAATGAACAAGAAAATGCAACTCTGTGCCTTTGCTGGTCTCCCCACCTCAGATGAATATGGGAACATAGTTTTGACAGGGAACTGAGTACTGAAATGTAGGAGTCAGAATTCATAATACACACAAGGGATGAAAAACTTTTAAACTAAACATTTTACTTTAAAAGTATCCTGTGGGTAAGAACCCAGCACATAAGGCAGGCACAAACTAATTTTTTCTCTTGAAGAATGTGCCCTTACCCTGTGTCTCAAGGGGTTCTCCTGAAAATATCTCATACAAGCAGTCGCATGCAGTAATAGTCACACAAAGAACCAGGAAACCATAGGCAGAACTCAGAAGCAGAGTAACATATAAAGTTAAGCATGTTTTGGGGAGCAAAAATACAGTCTTAAAACCCAATTGGGAAGGAATCAACTGGAATTTGGAAAAAATAAACATCAGGAAATTAATGACAAGTGGATCTTTGCACACAGGCAGACAGATGGAGTGACAGAGCAGCTGACTTCTCCACTGTGAGAAAGGATGGCCGCATCTGCAGAATAATGCCTTCCGAATGCTGTGAGACAGGCTGAAACAGTGTGCTCAGCAAAACTGTCTTTCAAGAAAAACATTATTCTGTTGAGACACTAAAACAAACTTAAAAGTTGATTCTTTAAGAATATCAATATTGAGAAACTTTTAGCAGAAGAAAAAAAAAGGAAACAAAATATAAAGGCAAAAGGACTCACAGTACTGTCATAGTCAAAACATTGTAATCAGATAAAGATAGATAACAATTAGAACAATTATTAAAACTGTTAAAAGATGTTCATTGTGATCTAAATAAGTGAGAAACATGTCTTGGAATTTGACATGTGTTTTCTGACATATAGAAAACCTTTGAAGGACAAAAAGATGACCAAATAAGGTGACCTACTTGATTAGGCGTTGTCCTTGTTTTTTAGTGTTATTACACAATTTTGTGTCCAGTGGTGATAAATACATCAGTTGATGTCCCAGGTAATTAGACCAGTGAGCAAAGGGAAAATTCACAGCAGTCACTGGGGCAGTTGGACATCAGGATGGAAAAACACGGAAATCTTTCTATATTGCAGGTCAAATCCAAGAGAAAAAATTAAATTTCATAGAATTATTAATTTTGGAAAAAATGTAGATAATGTTTATATTTCTCTGAGAATGTAACATTTTTTATTAAAAAGAAATGAAGAAAGTATAATTTTCAGTGTGCTTTCTGAATTTGAGTCCATTGAACTGACATATTCACGTGAATGTGATATTATACTCTTTCCCATTTTCATTGATTTGCCTAGTTTTTGCTGAATTTAATAGCTATAAAAATACATGTTTGTCAGGGACTTTTAATAGGTTAGTTGAGGAAACATGTCAAAGATACTAATTGGAAGCAAAAGAATAATAAACCTGAGACCTTCAGCTCTAATGGGCAGTCCTGATATCAAGACATGCTCTGTTGTCAAACCCAAATGAAAGAACAGCTTGTTGATTCTTCAGTGTGGGTTTCCTTTGCATCATTTATTATATGTTTGCAGCACACACACACACACACACACACACACACACACACACACACACACACACTGAAATGATTTCTTTTTTAAAAGACTCTGATCTAGGGCTGTTGTTTTTCAGAAGTCTACTTCAAACTTACTTAGGGAAATATCTTCAAGGAAGGAAAGTTTATGGTGGTTGTCAGCAGAATCTACAATACTACAATATTCAATTCAGTAGGGAAGTTTCATAACTAAAACAAACCAATTGTCATAACTGTTTTTAGCAGAACTTGATAATTATTGCCTTTAACTGTAATTAAATATTTCTTCTTCTACCACAATGCCATCATAGAACCTTACTACTTATTTATGAACTCTGATATGCTCATACCTTTCCCCTCAGGTTTCTGATGCCACATCAATCCCAAGACCTTTTAATGTCTTGCCTGTGAAAACAAAATGGAGTTACATTGGCTTCCATGTTCTCCTGTTTGATTTGGAAAATCTCGTGGAACTACTGCTACCTACTCCCATCAATGATGTTGACCATTCTGGATCATTCTATGGAAGTGACATCTTGAGGAGAGCCAAGAGCACAGTAGAGAAGAAGACATTGACAATGAGAAGAAATAAAGCCTCGTGTAGCTCTCTCCATGCTGAGGCACAAGCCAAGACCAGTGGGGACAGCCTGCCCTCTGGGGATAATAACTGTAAATTTCCAGAGGAGAGTGATGGCATTAAAAGACAGAAGAAAATGAAGAGCTCCAAAAAGACACACCCTAAGCCATCCAGAAAGGTTGATGCCAGCCTCACAATAGACATGGCAAAATTGTTTCTGTCTTGTGTTTTGCCATGGGGAGTAGACAAAGAGTTAGACAGCCTCTGTACCAGGCATCTCAGCATCTTAAAGCTGCAGAGTCCTGTGTCTTTGGGACTTGCTTCAAATGAAAACCTCTTCTCCCTGATGCTACCTGGTTGGGATGTATGCAGTACTGAAATGAAGGAGCACTCAGGAGTAAATCTGTTCTCCAGAAAAGTTTTAGAATTGTCAAACAAATACACAGCCACTCTTCCGAACCAGACTGGAATTCCCAGAAGTCCAGACAATCACTGCAATACCTTGCAGCAATCAGATACTATAGTATATTTACTGAGCAGACTCTTTTTAGTTAATAAGTTAGTTAACATGCCTTTGGATTTGGCCTGTAAAACGGACAGGTAAGAAGCACTAGAGAAACTGATGATTCTAATGGAGACATCAAAATTGTTATGACCATTCTCTGTGTTCGGTCCACTCATCTTCCTTCTGAGATGATGTTGAAGATGCTTTAAAAAGTTAGAGAACTTTTAAAATTCAGAGCCCATTTAAAAATATTTCTCCATTAATTCTTTGGGTTAGAGGATAATTGTGTCTCTATATGTTTTAATATGTATTTATTTAGGTTAAGAAGATAACTTGATGTCATGTAAACGTGGAGACCTGAGATTGAGTCTCCAGCATACCACATGAAAGCTGTGTCTGGGTGTGGGTGCCTCCAACCCTAACTTTGGAGATGCAGAGGGAGGTAGAGCTCTAGAACTGGCTGACCAGTTATTCTAACACAATTGATGAACTCTGGGGTCAGTGAGAGGACCTGGCTCAAAATAGAAGGTCAAGGAAGATACTTAGCATTGACCTCTGACTTCTACATGCGTATGCACACACATGCACACACTTGAATACACGCATGAACACAAAAACAAAATTAGAAATATTAGCTTACTCGACAAATATCCATTGTATTCATATGTGCTAGAAAAACCAGAGGGTTAGATGCTTAGTGAAGTCATAGATGGATTGACTGCATACATACATGTGTCCATACACAAGTACATAGCTTATAGTCTATTTTACATGGTGTGAGTTAGGTATGAACAAATAGTTCTTAAATAGGTGCTCATACCACAAGTTGTGCCTTGCATATTCAGATAGGGGTGGTATGATTGTGCACAGGGTGTGCCTTATAGAAGGCATATCCACCAGTAACGGATGGCAGCTCTAGTTTAATACTTGGCAGTTGCTATGTCCCTTAACATACATGGTCTACAGAGCGAGTTCCAGGACAGCCTCCAAAGCCACAGAGAAACCCTGTCTCGAAAAACCAAAAAAAAAATTCTGATTTAATTAAATCCAATCCAGTTCACCAAATACTTAATAAAGTATGTCTGCAGCTTATGACCTACAGAAGATAGAGAAAATAGATTTTGACGGAGGCAGGGGCTCATTCAAATAATAAAAAATAACTCTACACATGAAACGTGTGTGATGTGAGTAGTAGGGCTGAGAGGGTCAGACAAGCCCATCTTGCTATTCAAGGACAGAATTGGACCTGCTTGCTGCAGGCTAGGAGGTCTCTGCAATCTGTTTCATAAGAGCTCAGGCCAGCAAGTGTCTGTCCCAGTTGGTATGTGACAGAACTCCAGGCGGTTGGGAGTCAAGACAGATCCCATAAACTTCTATACTGCTTCACACCATAATGCTGGTGTGTCACAGATGTTTACTGTCCAGTTTTCTGGTGTTGATGGGGAGAAAACAGAGATGGGGGGGTCTGCTTCATGCACAACTTGACTCTACTTTCTTTATTCATCTTGAACACCCAAATCACACCCACTGCTGCATACTTAACAACAAAGTTAAGATAGACTTAAAACAACCTTTCTTCTTTCTGTTACTAAACGTTTATACAACAACGAAGTATGCTTAAACTATATTATCAGTTTTGAGCCTGAAAACATAGGAGAGAGTGTGACACTACCGTATGATTTTGGCTAACCATTTAACCTTCCTGGACTTTACATGAGCTGGGGAATGATTGATGCTAAGAATTCTTCAAAGCCACCCTCCCCCAACACACACACACACACACACACACACACACACACACACACACACACACAAGATTATGATTCCACCAGGAGGGTGCAGGGAAGAGAGGTCTATTTTTAATATAGAATCTGGGGTGGAAAAGCTGTCTGGGGTCCTGTGAGTTCAGGGGTTTTCAGCATACTTAACAGTAAAGGGACTTAAAAAGTCACCACAAAACTGTACTTCAAAAAACTGCCCATTAAAATACTGGGTGTGGTGGTGCATGTCTTTAATCTTAGTACACCACACAGGGACAGAGGAAAAGGCAGGCTGATCTTTAGTCTGCATAGCAAGTTCCAGGGAAGTCAGGGCTACATAGTGAGGATCTGTCTCAGAACAAAGCAAAGCCCCAACTGTCTACTCAATAAACTTTGGAATGGAGATGTCAGAAGAACTTTTCTAAGCCAACTCTTCTGAGTTTGATTACTGGGGTCAGGATACTGTGTTTTATTGAGAAATTAAAATAATGTATTACTGGATATATCATTTCAAATCCATCCAACAAATTTGTCTGTCTTGCCAACTCTTTATTATAGTTGTGCAGACTGAGAAATCCCTGTGTGCTTCCCAACAGAGTGTGTGACTGCACTGAATTCTGAAGAAACAGCCTGTGGCAGCACCTCTGACAATGTCAGGAATAATGACCCAGTACAGAACATGAGGGTTCCTGGGAAGAGTTCAACCTTGGGATTCTTAAACCAATCATAGCAATCAGATACTTTGCTCTACAGTAGCAAGACCTCTCCTGTAAAGGGGCCACAGTTCATTCTGATGAGCTAAGATTTGAAGTTCAGTTGAGAATGTAAACAGATCAAAGTTGAGGAATTAAGTGTAGAAGAAAATGATGAAGATAATTCATGTTCAATTTCCAATTTGTTAAGTAAGTGTCTTCAGTTTATCAAAGAGTTTACCATACTTTAAAAGTAATATCCTGTATAACTTTTTTTCTTAGCAGATCCTTCAAAGTGGAGTCTGTACACAACAAGGGGAAATTCCCTGGAAGTGATATTTTGAATATATCAAGCTTCTATGATCACCTAAAAAATGGTAAGAGAGTTAATGACACAGATATTATCTGTCTTTTCCCTATGAAATAGAATAATAGTTCTATAACTGGATAGCAATGTCTTAAATAAGTAACATTGTAAAATGCATAGGTTGCATTCACAGGTCTCTAGATGCCCAAGTAACTGAGACTTCTCATAGATGAAATGTTTGGATACTAAAGTACTGTGTGATTTATTAGAAGATTGATAGCATCAATAGCTTTATTGCCCCCTCCCCAAAGCTACTGTCAGAGAATTTTCTTGCTATTTCAGGAGGTTATTTTTATGTGTGTAACAATCTCAAATTTTCCTGAGTAATCGTCTCAGCCTTTAGATTGTGTTTTGTTGCCAAATAGCCTATGCATCTCCCATTTGCGTCTCCAAGTCTTAGCTCCTAGGGACCTCTCCCTCAGTTCTGTTTCTCAATTCTTTGATGCCATTGTTTCACATTTCCTTCAGCCAATATCCAATGTCTAAGCTTTCAATCATCTCAGAGTCTGCTGTTTCTGAATACCCGTGGCATGCCCTGTGTGTGAACCTTCATCCTGATGTGCTTCTGAATAGCTACAGTAGGTCCCTACTCCTCCCCCTGCCTTTTGCACTCTATTTGCAAGCAGGATCTTCTCTCTCTCTCTCTCTGTCTCTCTCTCTCCCTCTCTCTTTCTGTCTCTCTCTGTCTCTTTCTGTCTCTCTGTGTCTCTGTCTCTGTCTCTCTCTGTCTCTCTGTCTCTGTCTGTCTTTCTGTGTCTCTGTCTCTGTCTCTGTCTGTCTTTCTGTGTCTCTGTCTCTGTCTCTGTCTGTCTTTCTGTGTCTCTGTCTCTGTCTCTGTCTCTGTCTCTGTCTCTGTCTCTCTCTCTCTCTCTCTCTCTCTCTCTCTCTCTCTGGCTTCTTTTTTGGGTTATAAGCTACATTTCCCTAATTCCAAGATCCTGCCTAAGTCAGCACATCCACACATCTTGTCCTGGTTTAGAATGAAGTTGTAGTTACTGTTGTCTCTATCCTTATGCAGCACGGCAAGCAGGTCTTGAGACCTCAGCATTGGTTCTGCTTTGGCATGGATTGTTCCTTCTTCTGGTGTCTACAGAGCCCTACCTACTGTCTTTCTATTCATCTTCATCCTCCAAGTCTTCATCAAATGCCCCACCTCCTGTCTATAACATCCCACCTGTTCCCCTGTTGTATCATTCTCCATATACTTTTTCACTAATAATGACCTTCTTCATTTCTATGAAGTCTCATTCATTATTACGTCTAGTGTCTAGAAAGAATTGTGCCATTGTTCTGGATTAGTGTGTAATGAAATTAACAAGTGAATAGACTTAAAGGATACATGCTGATTAGAACAATGTTTAAGAGATGAATGAAATAGGTGAGGGGAGTTCAAGTTCCAGCTCTGTAGATTACTATGTTTACATCTGTGAGACTGTCTTTCACTTTTTATTAAGTCCCTATTTAAAATGAGAATAAGGTTCTTGGACTGTTGCAATACTACCTCTGCAGTTAAGCACAGATGACCTGTGGTGCACAGTGGCTCTACAAGATGATTAAAAAGAAAATTAGGGCTCATTCTAGGATAGTTTACTGATAGCATTCAATTATGTGGTGCTGGTGTGTTCCAAAAATTTTGTCAATGGTTTGCATAGGAAATTCCATTGGATGTATTAGAAAGCCCTATGTTTTAAAAGTGTAAGAAGTTTCTGTTATTCTCGGCAAAAAACAGGGCTCCTAAAAATCAGATGGATCAATGACAGTTAGACTGCTGATAACCAGAGAGGCAGCTTTGGCATGCAGATCCAACTGTTCCCTTCCTTTCCTTCTCTCTTTATCAAATCACTCTTCATTTGTGTGCCTTTGACAACACCCCTTACAGGTAGCCCCTGACTTCTTCTTAGTATGTAGATGCTCTTAATAGGGATGCTTTCTTAGTTTGAATTTTTGTAAGACTAGGCAAGGATTTGAATTTAGGGTTTAACATGTATACTTTTGTAAAGATGGAATAACTAACCAGATCCAAGGTTGTTCCTTCTTCTCCTGTGGGTCTACAGTGAACAGCCTTGAGAGCTGGTGTTACTACTGAGTCATATTGCTGTTTGGGTTCCATTTTTTTAACAGTTGAGGTTAAGTTAGAGGGCTTGGGTGATGACTGTGTAGGTAAAATGCTTGCTGTGCACTTATGAGGACCTGAGTTCACATCCCCAGCATTCACATAAAATCCAGGGATGGCAGCACATAATGGAAGTCCAAGTGCTGGTGAAAGGAAGACAACAGAACCTTTGAAAATTACTGACTATGCAGCCTAGTCAAACAGTGAGTTCCAGGTTCCATGAGAGGCCCTGCCTCAAAAACTATAGTGAAGAATAATTGAAGAAGACACTTGACATCCAACTCAGACCTGCATAGGTATACATATGCACATCAATCTCTCTCTCTCTCTCTCTCCCTCCCTCCCTCCCTCCCTCCCTCCCTCCCCCCTCTCTCTCTCACACACACACAAAGTTGAAATTGAGACAAATATACTTTTCATAATAGACAGAAACAAGATAAGTGGAGGGGTGTAAGAAAAGACTCACTTCTTGGTAATCGATTTTTACATCCAAACCCTGAAAAGTGAAATAACACCAGAGTTCTCTTTTTCAAGGCTTGACAGGAACCCGTGCCCACTCCTGTTAGCAGAAATGGTGACTGAGTAATGCTGACAAAGCTGGGATGTTTTCTTTTCATCTTTACCCCTGAAGTTGCAATTAATTCTATGACTCCCTGACACTGCCAAGAAAAGTTGGCTCTGGCATCTCTATCATATTAAAATTTTAACATCGCATTAAAGCATACTGTGAAGTGCCCCACGATGCCAGTAAGTAGTTACAGTTGAGACCAAGCTTTAGCTTTGACGGTGAGTCACAAGGTCAGCAAGATGAGAGAGGAAGAGATGAGCAAGATCAAAAGAAAGCCTCTTTTGCACATGTGGAGGTGTGGGAGGTGTGCTCAGAATGAGGCTGGTCTGGGACATAGGTCTGTGCACCGTGGTTGGTTACTTCAAATTCTTATTACACACTCGTTTAGAAAAAAATCAGAGCAGTAGCCAAGCATTTATTATCGACTTCCTTTACGTTTTAATTTGCCTTATACCCAGTATGTTTGTTCCACCACCATTCTTTGATAACTAATATATTTTAATTGAAATATACATGTGTAACATACATACATGCATACAAAATGTATATATACTGTGTATATGTAATTTATTTCCATATTGGATGATTGATAGAAACTCTAATGGATAAAACTGATCTGAATAATTGTTAGTAGAATGTTAACCATGAAACAAAACCTAAATTTTAGGAGACAGGTTTAATTGCAATTTTCCCACCATGGAAAGCCTTCATCATGCTTCCCTATTTTCTACCAGGACCTGAGATCTGCATGATGCATTCACTCATCAGAAAGCCTTAAGTGATTGATTTTTTCTTCATTTAGGTATTATATATACATTTTCAATTAATCAAAAGGCACTATTATTTTTATTAATTGCTCTTTTGTGTGATGAACTGTTAGTCTTCATATGGATCAATGAACATAGAACAAGCCCTTCCTCACATTTAGAACTTCCCAGTGGACTTAAGGCAAAGATAGAAAGGGTATTGAAGAGGACAGCCTTAGAAGAAACAAAGCTTCATACGCAGCATAAAGCATTGGTATTTCACCCATCAGTAAGAGATAAATGGTGGAATGAGGACAAGCCAATATAGTCTCTGATTCTACCTGTGATGGGTGCAGACTTGTGGCAAGCCTGAGCTCTTTGTATGAGGAGGTAAGAAACAGAAAAACCTGGTGCTTTGTCTTAGTTTGGCAAAGAAGTTGAAAGATGAAGTAAGTATAAAAATAAGCATGGGTTGACAGTGTCTGAGTCCACCTAATTATTCTGGTTGTATCTGAAAGTCGTATGAGATACTTTGCCATAGTGCTATTGGCTACCCATTCCCATTCCCATCCTTGAACCTGCTAAATCACACTACCTGTAAGGTTGAACCTAATCATTGGCGTTTGTAAGAAACAAGCTTTCCCAGGTGATATCACTGTGCAGAAAGCATCAGGGACCTAGCATGAGTTGCATTAATAAAACGAGTTCTCTATATTTCTAGGTAGGAATGAATATCACACACCTGAGGTTGACATCTCTCTTTTGAAGCTAATCTCCTGCTGGAGAGACCAGGCTGTACAGGTATGACATCGTCCGCATGCTTCATGCTATCAGAGGAGACTCCTGCTACTAAGGCTCATTGAGTCCCCTCCTCCCCTAGAATGCAAGGAGGCAGTTATTCTTATCCTGCAAGATTGCTTTCTAGATTATTTTCTTCATCAAGCCCAAAGTATAGACAGGACTCAGGCAAAGCATAGAGATGTTCCATAAGGAGACCCAATGGGGGATGCAGCAGGGAGTGACCATGGGAGGTGGGCTCATCCTGACAGAGGTTAACTACTTGTCTGATGTGAATTCTCTCAGAAGCAGAATTAGTTGTTATTTGTGTTGTGACTTGAATTAGCCTTTTCTGAGGGTTTTCCTTACATGAAATTAGCTGATTTATAGGGAAGCTTAGTATGATTTCCTTTTCACATCACTCTTTCAATTTCTTTGGGTTACTGGTGGCTTTGAACATTGTACAAGTTTTCTGCACCATCTGAGAAACATGAAAAGAGCTTCATTAAATAAAGTAATTAAAAACCCCTCTCCTCTCAAGTGCCCTTTCATAATCTTGCATTTTCAAAAGAATGCAAGGTTGGTGTTTGTGCCCAGAACTTTTATGCACTACATTTTGTATTGTTATTAGTTTACAGTTTCATGCGTGTGTGTCATGAATACTGACCACTTTCACCTCCACCCTGCTCCCTGCTACCACTCTCGTCCACCTTGCCTCCTCTCCACAGATCTCTCTCTCTCTCTCTCTCTCTCTCTCTCTCTCTCTCTCTCTCTCTCTCTCTCTCTCTTCTGTGTGTGTGTGTGTTTGTGTGTGTGATGTTCCTAACTGTTTGGTTTTGTGACCTGATAAGATTAATCTGGGCCATCTGTAGGCTGTGGGTCCAGTGCAGGGAACTATAGTTGATAGATGTTTGCGGCTAGGGAATGGCACCTTGTAGCCCATCATCCTATCTTTTCGTTTGCCCCACTTGCTCTTTTGCAATGTTCCTGAGCCTTATAGGGGCTGGTGTAGATAAGTTGTTTCAGGTTGGGTCTACATCCACAGCTTGGGCATCTATGTGTCTCTGCATCATTACTGTTACTCATAAGGAGAGATGTTTCATGTCACTTCCAGGAGAATCAGATGGTATTATCTATGGAAAACTCAAAGTTCTGGCCTTTGGATTGTTTTACAAGACTGATAATAATTTGGAATGATAGTATATAATTGCATATTATTATTATTATTATTATTATTATTATATAATCATTGATATAATGAAAGTAAAATCTGCCCCAGGTAACTGAAGCAATACAAGCTGTCCTCTTGGCTGAAGTTCAACAGCACATGAAGCGTCTGAGAAACACACCCATCAGTAGTCAAACAGACCCAGTGGCAGAGCACACCATCTGTGAGAGGATGTGGATCTCGTCGAAGGTGGGGTGGACTGAAGAAATAGAGCTACCGTATGTGGGAAACTCCTCCCCTATTGAAAGTAAGTGAGCGGTTTACCTGTCTGCTACTTCAGTCGAGCTTCCTACTACTTAGAACGTTCTGGAGAGTACGAGTTTGCAATGTATCATTTCCTCAGAAATGGGGCCGCACACTCCATTTCTGACCTACACAATTAATGGTTTGTTCATGTCAATACCAAGCTATTAAAGAACATCTGACTCTATTGTAGTTATAGGTACTTTACTGAAGGAAAGTTGTATTGTATATAAGTAAAAACAGAGTGAGGAGGATGCCACTGAAGACCTGAGTTCTAATCTCTAACACTTTCATAAATATCTGGCCTCAGCAATATGTATCTATAACCTTGAAGAAAATGTAGGGCTTCATCATGGATATTCCATGTCTCATAAGAAAGGAAATTCAAGGAAAGAAATTACTTGACTAGTCTGTACAAAGTGCATATGGGAGGCACCAGGAATCAAGGGATGGGGAAATTAAGTGATGTTTTTGAATTCCATGATTTTTGCAACTTACTCATTTTACAGTATCTTCTTACATTTCATGATGTCTATTTCATTTGGGGTCTTAATATTTACACATCTGTGCTTCAGGTAAGGGTGGATCACCATATCTGAGTTTATATTTTCACACTGAGTACATTCTGATTTTCTCTGAATTGATTTAGTAAGAAATTGTGTAACAAATACATTTCAGAGTACAACACTTTTGTTGATATTTATTTTCTCTTATTTTATATGTGTGGCTTTTGCCTGCATGTATGTGTGTCCATGTGTGCAGTCCATGCCTAAAAAGGCCAGAAGACGCCACTGAATACCCTGGAACTGGAGTTACAAAGGATTATAAACTACTGTGTATGTCCTCTGAAGGAGTAGCCAGTGCTTTTAATTGCTAAGTGTCGTGTCCAGACCAAGACTTGTTGAGGTTTCTGTTATCAAATATGTTTTGGAAGTTATTTCCCTTTAATTCTGTCTCTGTCTCTGTCTCTGTCTCTGTCTCTCTGTCTCTCTGTCTCTGTCTCTGTCTCTGTCTCTGTCTCTCTCTCTCTCTCTCTCTCTCTCTCTCTCTCTCTCTCTCTGTGTCTGTGTGTGTGTACAAATAAATGGAGGCCAGAGGGTAATCTCAATTTTTCAGGAACTATCCTTCTTGTTTTCTGAGATGGGGTCTCTCACTAGACCCTAGAACTTCCAGGCTAGGCTGGCTGGCAAGCACACTTTCATGATCCTCTCAGCCCTGAAGAGATCCCAAGCACACATACTCACATGTGGCTCTTCTAGTGGATTCTGGGGATTTAACTCAGGTCACCTGTTTGCATAGCAAGTGCTTCATTATACATTTTTACATTGTATATATTAGTTAGACTAATCCAAGCTACTACATTGAATAAAGCTTTGGCGTAGAAGTGGAGGTGTTGTAGATGAAACTGTCACTTTGGAATTATTGGCTAGATTTAAATTTCTTGTTAAGCTGTGGTGCTGAGAGTGATGCCTCCGAGATGAATACAGAAAGTAATCTTTCCACATGCTCCATATCCAAAGTTTTATCCAGGAAATAAATAACAAAATATTTTTTATTTTTTTCATTACATACAACAATGTAATTGTCATAAGCATTTATTGAACAGGAAGCTGGGGGTTTTCTGCCTTTCAGGAAAGGGCTTCCTCTGTTTGCAGAACTGGAAGGGAAATTTGTCTAACTAAAGGAAGAATTTGTTGTATAGCTAAGCACCTGATAAGGAATGGCTTCCTTAACAGTACTTATGTACTAAATTTCATTTAGCCTCAGTGCAGCCTCTGTGTTCATGTGAGAACAGATTAAATTCATTCTGGTCATAACAATTGCCTAGGAAGTCTTCATGTGATGATGAATTAGCAAGGAGCAGAAATACAAAGGGCCATATTGTGGGAGACCTGTGTCAGGAACATCTAGGTGCTCTCTCAAATGCTACCTCATCTTAGTTGACAAGTGGCATCTCTTTTTTTCTGATTATGTTTTTCTGTGTTTGGAGTTAAGGACAATGATGTCTGGGTCAACCCTGGTGATCTAACTTGTCTCTGGTATCTAGCAGCTCAGCAGCAGGTCTAGGTGTACCATGGTCTTCTGGGTGTGCTAAAGGTACAGTAGAGGACTCACTATACAAAAGCTGCTTTCAAGAATGGGTATTTAAGTAATCTGAGGATTTTCCACTTTAACTAAACCAATCCCCAGAAAAGTAACAAGAAGAGTAGAAGTCCCCTGACAAGAAATTAAGGGTTTGAGAGTCAAGAAACTCCCTTAGATATAAATATCTCCAAGTAGAGACCTGGAGAATCAAGAGGAGTAGCTGAGAAAAAGTTGAGGTGGAAGAGGCAGCTACAAATTCTCCACATATATTCTTTACGGGAATATTTATACATTCTTTTCATGAATAATTCTTTTTCCCTTTAGATATATGTTCTTTTCAAGTCCCATTGCATCCATAGCCTGCCTTCCTTATCCTCAGCCTTCTAGAATAGCAGTGGCCATGATAATGCCATCACATTTGTACAGTTTACTGTTTTCTAAATTTTTTGTATAGCCTGAATTATTTAATAACGTTCTATGCAGATACATATGTTTTCATGCCATTATGCTGTGGAGAAAACCAAACCAAACCAAACCAACCAACCAAACCATCTGTGATGTGTGGTGACTGAAGAGAAGCATCCAGAACTCACCTGCCCCCTCCCATACACACTCGTAACTGGCATCATACCAGATGAGGAAGCAGCTATGGTTATTCTCAATTCATTATCATACTAGAAATTTCATCAAGAGATGTCAAGCAGGAGAAAGAAATAAGACTTGCAAACATGAGAAAAGGAGAAATTACCTCTGTTTTCACAAAAGACTCCCCCAAGATTATCAGAGCTAATGAATGAATCTAGTAAAGTTGCAAGATGCAAGATAAACATACAGAAGTTTTAGGTCTTTTATAAAGAGTAATGAATTTGCTATAGAGGAAATAATGGATGCAACCCCTTAGAACCCCTTAATGAGGGCATGAGTATTATTAATATTAATTATCTCATTACTCATTATAATCATGTCTTATAATAATAATTCCTAGGAATAAACTTAATTAAGGAAATAAAATATGTTCATGACAAAAATTATGAAACACTGATGAAATAAACGTGTGTGTGTGTGTGCTTAAAAATGGATAAACCTCCCAAGTTCATGGATACGAAGAACTAACAAATGCTTCAATAAATGCTGTTGGGAATGCCTTTTAAGTGCATTCAGAATGTTAAAAAATAGAGTCCATTGCTAACCCTGTGCAAAAATCAGTTAAATTATATCAGTGCCAATAATGTGAGATCTAACAATCTGAAACAGAGGGTATGCACATCAAGATACAGGCATTCATGTCAGTTCCAAGATAGGACTCTGAAAGCACAAGAAGCCGAAGTGAGCATTATACCAAATGAGACAGAAAAAAAAAGATCAGTAGAGCAAAGAGAAAACTAAAGAAAAGGAGTAAATATGTGCCGACTACTCACCCAACAGTTGTTATCCAGAATATATGAAGAACTCCAAATATTTAACAAAATAAAATCTTTTTTTTAGTTTAAATTTAGATTAGAAACAAGGTGCTTCACAAGTCAGTTCCAGGTACCTCTCCGTTTCCCTCCCCTCCTCCCGTGCCCTCCCCCCAAACTCCCCCCAATATCCCCTCAAACAAAATAAAATCTACTAGAAATATGGATGTTCTGATAGTTTTTAAAAGAAAACAATACAAATGACCAGTAAATATATGAACATCATTGACTAGCAGTAACTGTCAGAGGAATGCAAAAGTGTAAGGAGGTGGAATAACTGTCCTGGGCAAGGGGGACCTCATGGCCCCAGTATGACAGCTGGGGGGCCAGCATAGGACCAAACCAGGCCTGCTGAACGTGGGTGTCAGCTAGGAGCACTGGGCAGTCTATGGGGCCTCTGGTAGTGGAACCAAGATGTATCCATAGTGCATGAATGATCTTTGGGAGCCCATTCCCAATGGAGAGATACTCTCTGAGCCTAGATACACAGGGGAGGGTCTAGGCCCTGCCCCAAATGACAGATTTTGATGATCCCTCATGGAAGGCCTCACCCTCCCTGGGGAGTGGGTGGGGGATGGGATGGCGGGTCAGTGGGGTTTATGGGGGAATGGGAAGGAAAGGGAACTGGGATTGATATGTAAAATAAGATCTTTTCTAATTTAAAAAAGGAGGTGGGACTTATCCCACCCAGAATCACTGATCTCACAGAACAAAAATAAGAAATGCCAGGTGAGTGTGTGGAGAGCTGGAAACTTTGACACATTGACAATGATCTGCATACCATGGTGCAGCCACTTTGGAAAGCAGTGTGAAAACTCCTCAGAAAACTAAAATTAGAATTAATATATGGTCCAGCTAACCCTCTCATGTGTATAGATTCACAGGATTGAAATCTTCATACTAAGGAGTAGTATGCTCAGGCTTATTATCACCCTAGTCACAAAAACTAAGACATAGAGTCAGGCTAGGTTCCTGCCAGCAGATGAGTGGGTGAAGATGGTGAAATGTTATCCAACAATAAAAGACCAAATCCTCTTGTTTGTAGAGAAATGGATGGTACTCGTAGACATTATATTAAGTTAAATAGGCCAGACACAGAAAGACAAATATCATATTTCCTCTCAAATTCAGAATCAATTATCACTCATCCTGAAAGTAGTGTAGATGTTCCTAGAGAGGAGCACCATGGGGAGTCATGAGGATGGAAGAAGGATGGATGGGTAGGATCTACACAAATTACATCCATGTATAGAAAAGAGTGAGTTTCTTTCCTTTGATAAATACGATTAATGTTTCAAAAGAATAAGAGAAGAAGACAAAAATCTTGCCTTAGGCATTACTGTCAATGAGTGATAGCTACACATCACTCGACTTAGTATGTTTTCTGGGTTAAGTTCTTCAAAGTTTGCATGGCATCCTTCTCCAATTGTCCACAATTACTCTTCTCACCTCTTTCTCCAGA